CGTCGACTGAGTTGGGATGTCGGTCAGCAGCCTCATACTTGAATCACACATGCAGCAAAGAAGCAGCATGGAGACGAAGCCGAGACGCATACTCCGCACTTGCGTGGGAGGTGGCAGTTGGATGCTTGTGGTGGATGATAGGTTTCCGTGATGTAGGTGGAGGAAGATGTGATGATGTGGTTTAGCCTGTGGTTGTCTACCGCAGGTTTTCGTGAATCTACATGTGACCTAATAGGCTTCTGCGGCGGGTGAATTAGAGGGTGCAGTGAGGGCAGTTGAGGCCGATGCGGCGAGTGCATGTGGATGGTCCAGACACAAGTTCGCCAGCTTCTGTGCGACAGATTCGCAGTTGGCCGACCAGGCCGATGTGTGAGGTGAATGGCACGAGGACAGTGTGAACAGAAAAAGTCGTCGGTCGGGTGGTGGGGGTGGTCGTGTGTCAACGGCTTGTCAACGGCTGTCGCGGCCATCGACCGACAAAACGAGCCCGGAGAGAAGGGGGACTAGAGCGGCATGGTGGATGTGCAGTAGGTACTAGGTGCGTCGACACTGCGGTTGATTTAGCTCTCGTGGACGCGCATGTGGCCGAATGGACCAATGCGGTGAGTGAATGTGCAGGTGCATTGGGAGCAACTGAAGCGGGTGCGTCTTGTGTAGGTTGGTGCTCCAGGCACTTATTCGCCAGTCTGTGCGTCGGATTCGCAAATAACCGACCAGGTCGGCTTGCGAGGTGGAGGTTCGGCCACAATGAGGACCATTATAGATCGAGTCCGCATCACTGGAGTTGTTGATGCTTGTTGGGGTGTGAGTGGGGGTCCGGGGAGTGCGGCAAGTGTTAGTTATCGGCGAGCAGGATGAGGCAGATTTGGATGAGAATACAGCAGTGCGTGTAGTCCGGGTTCTGCAGTTGATACGAAGATACCCTACTAAGCCGAATGGTGCCCGAAACGTCCACTGTCAGCGTGGGCTGGTGGGAATGGTTGAGTGCTGGCGTTGCGAAGAGGGTGTAGCTGGGATTTTCAAGCCCCGCGTTTAGCTTTTCAGTTGCTAATGCGTGTGAATTTGTAGATTTCTGCGTCCGTCCTCACTGCACTCCGCCAGAACGGTCAGTCCTGTTTAGAGGTCATCCACTTTGGTGGGGTTGTTCTGCAGACGCTTAAAGGGAAGCCTTCAGAGTGTGAGACCAAAAGACCCACTGCCACGTCAAGGAACATCTGGTGTCGTTTGCCGGATCTAGTGCAATTGCGGGCAAAGTAACTACGTCGGAGAAAGTGGAAGACTGCTCCGGCAGCGAATTGCCGATAACCTGACAGCGGTACGGAGAAATGACGGCAACTCTCAGGTCGCGGACCATTCGACCAGACGCGGCCACACATTCAAGTTCAATGAGGCCAAAATTCTCGCGGGAGGGGATAATCGCGTGAGCCGCGAGTTGCTTAAGTTATGGTTCACGGGACCTCAGCCTATCAACAAGTGCGACGTCTTCCCCACTCCATATTTCATGCTGTGGATGGGCTGACTAAAGTAATTGACCACTCGAGGAGCACGAAAGCCGGTGAGACAAATGATCAATCAGTCATCACGCCAGCATTCAACACGGGTGATGACATTTCGGCAATTAACAACCTGCATGCCGAACATCAAGCAATCAGCACACCAGCGGCAACAATCCTTCATGAAAGGGATCGCAGTTAATTGTTATAGGCATTCAGTAGCATAGCGACTGCATCCTATTAATACTACAACTTCCTGTGCACGTGTCAACCTTTTCTGCCACTGTCTCTGATAATGGGTTCAAGTGAGAATACCAGACGACCAATACCAGGCGAATAAAGTCCCTGTTCCAGCGATCGTTTCTTCTTCCGCTCAACTATTTCCTGGAAATCGCATCTTCTCTTGTATTGGCAGAGTGTCCTTGTAGCGACGTAATTGGTCTCCTTGTCGGTGGGAACCCAAAGAAGAGTCGTTTTGGTAGCTGCTCATTGTCCATCGGCTCTAGGTGGCCGTTCCAATGCATTTGCAGATGTCTCGACATGGCACACATGCTGTGGATTTCCGTCCGCTCCAGTACATCTATGTCCGGGATCCGGTCCCGCCACCTCAGCTAAAATATCCATCGAAGACTGCTCAGATTGAAATGGTTGAATCTGCGCCCGGGGCGTTCATGACGGCAGGCGTCCGTCAGCATGGCAGAGAACATAAGGCTGAAGGGGGCGGGGGTGCGAGGATGCAGCCCTGCTTCACTGAGATGGTTCCATTGTACTTGACTCATGCCATCATGCCGTCGTGGAACTGACACAACATCTGCGTGGATAGTTCGGAACAGCCGAACTTCTGCATGATTTTTCTCAGTCCTTCACGATTCACGGTATCGAATACTTTTGTCAGATCCACGAAGGTAGAGTACAGGTGGATCCACGTCTTCTAACACATCTTTTGAAGTTGGTGGGCGGCGAAGATCATGTCTGTGGTCCCACGATGACGGCAGAAGCAGCACTGGCTTTCCCGTAGATAGCCTTCTTTTCAATTATTATTCCGGCCGTTTAGAAGGATGTGAGTGAAAATTTTCCTGCCGATGTTCAGCAAGAACATGCCTCCGTGGTCGTCGCAGCTTTGGCGGTTTGCTTTCCGTTTGTCTAAATGCACGATTTTTGCATCCCTGAAATCCTGCGAGACTTCTCATTGACGCCACACCACCTGGAAGAGCGCCGTCAATGATTCACGAGTTGGGGCCCACCATGCTTGTAGACTTCAGTAGAGCTAGCGTCCGATCTGGGTGCTTTTCCACTGGATAGCTGCTGCACGGCCCTGATGGTTTCGTAAAGAGGGGACTGGAGGTCGAGGTCTACGTTGGTCTCCACTTGCGACAAACAGGCGATGGCAACAGCGGAGATGGTGGAAGGGCGGTTGGGGACGCCTCGGAAGTGCTCGACCCATCGCTGTAGGATCTGTGTCTGCTCAGTTAGGAGGCGACTGCCGTCGGCGCTGAGGAGGGGAGCGGTGCCTTTCGTCGGCGGACCGTAGACAGCTTTGATCGCGGAGAAGAAATTCTTCCATTCGTTACGTCCGCGTATCCTTGAATCTCCTCGGCTATGCGAGCTGTCCAGGTATCCTGCATCTCGCGGAGCCGCTGTTGCACAAGGCGGCTACTACGGTAGATAGCTGTTTTGCTGTCATCAGTAGGGCAATCGACGTAAACTTTGTACAGGCGATTCGTCTCGACGAGCAGTTTGCTGATGGCAGCATCCTGATGCTGGCGATGTGGGCAGTCGACTAGACTGTGTTCCGAAGTTGACACCATCGGTTCTCCACGGCGGCTGCAGCGACTGGAAGGTTGGCTAGCCGTTGAGCTAATTCATCGCTGAAACTATGAAAGTGCGCAGGAGAGGACAATAAAGTCGTATTCAGCTTACTCGGAAGTCGCTTACCCTGATGTCTCTTGTGTGGCAGTAGGCGAATCCTCATCTCGCTGAGGATGAGCGATGATCAGTCCACTCGTCGGTATCGCAGATCGCCTTTGTCTCCAGCACCTCCAGCTGGTCTCGCCTCCGGACAAGGACATCGTCCAGCAGGTGCCACTGGCGCAACCGGGGATGCATCCAGGTGGCCTTCTTTCGCAACGGCGGGTGGAAGAAGGCGTTTGTCAGGATGAGTTGGTGTTCTACGCAAGTTCGTAGAAGGAGCAGCACCCAGCACTCCTTTCCAGACACTATGGTCTGTGCTGACGCGGGCGTTGAAGTCACCAAGAACAATCAGTTTTATCCGCCTTCGGCACGGTTGCCAGGAGTGAGTGCAAATCCTCTTAGATGTTGTCCCATCCCGCGTAAAGGCTAGCCATCGGCAGAGCGTAGACGCTGATGATGGTGGCGAATTTGCCTCCCCGGAGAGGCCGGAAGGAGGCTCATCAGGAGATCGTTTGTGCCACGCGGCACACAGATGCCTGGAGGGTGTGCAGGTTCTCGTAGAAGTTGTCCCTTGCGGCGTCAAGGCTGTTCATCAAGGAGAGTAGACGTTGATAATGGTGGCGAATTTAACTCCCCGAAGAGGCAGATGGAGGCTTCTAATGTAATCGTTTATGTCCCGTGGCAGACAGGACAGTCCTCCTCCCCAAAATATCATTCCGAATAGCAAAGGCGACGCCTGCATCTCGACGTTTTGCCTTGTGGCGACCGCCCAGAAGAAGGCGTTGCAACGATCTGGTGAAGACCCCCAAAGAAACACCGCCAGCCAAAGGTGCCTGTCTGACTGAAAGAGGAAATAGGAGTTTTACGGTTGGGGCCTTTGTATGCATATGTGTAGTCGGCACCGAACTCTAGTTAACCTTGTTCGGATAAACTGGTCTCGCTGATTGCAAAGATGTCCACCTTGTAGCGATCCAGTTCCCGAGCGACTAGCGCCGTCCTTCGTTCCGGTCGGTTGCTCCTGGGATTATTCGAAATGGAAAAGACATTCCAGGCTGCCAGAGTGAGCGGACTCGCTCTAGCAGCCTATGGGGAAGGGTGGCGGGAGGAGGAGGAGGAA